TTTATAAAATGTGTTAATAAATTATATATTTAATAGAAATAATATTATTATTTAACTATATATTTTTATTAAAAATTATTATTTTATAAATTTGTATTGTCTATAAGATTGTATAAATAATCTATTTATTGTTTGTTAATTAATATATTCAATAAGTATATATATTCTATGCTCGAAAATCTTTATATGAGAATGCATAGTATGAAGTAAAAAAAATATATAAAGATATATATAATCTAGTATAAATATATATTAGATTAAATATTAATCAAGATATATATTTTTTATTTTTGATTTTTTTAATGCAAATTATTAATATTTCAATAAAATAATCTAAAATGAATTAATATTTTGTTAAATTATAAATAATTAAATAATTTCTTATAAAATTTAAATAAAAAAATTTTACTACGATACATTTTGATAATTATATATAAAGTTATCTTTTTGTTATTACAATTTCTAATATGCATAATATTGGTTATGTTATTACATTAATTTATGTCATTTATAAATCATTAAAAAAAATAATAAATAATAATCTTTCATACATACATATGAGTGTTGATTTCCCCATTAAAACTTTTAATCATTTCCCTTCCCGTTAACATAACTTTCCCGCTCTTTTCGCATGGCGTCAGATTCTTTTTTGTTTCGTCAATATATATATATATCTCTATTTGCAAGTATATAAAAAAAAGTTTAAAGTTAATGTTATCAAATTATGTTTACTAATAATATTGTATTATTAAATTAGTTTAACAATTGCATATTGAACATATACTTTATTAAGCGAAAGCTTAATATGTGAAAAATAACAAATTAATTGGTAAAGTCTAGATAAATTTAATGCCCGGAAGTACCTAAAACGACAGTCGTCCGGTGTAAACATGACGAGTGACGCGTACCAGTGCGCAGCTACCAACGCGCAGCATTTGAACATTCATAGTTCGATCGGCCATATTGTCCTCCGGGTCTTACACAACGCCCTCACACGAACATTCTCGACTTTACGAGGTAAGCGAATATTTCGAGGTTTCGTGCAGCAAGCGAACTTAGCACAACGTGGAAACTTAATTCCGTGTGAAGAAATACGATTTTAAGCGATATTTGAAGAGACTTGTGGCCGCCGGTCGCGAACAAAACGCAAAAGATTGGTAAGTTATTTGTAGCACGTAGCAGAACGAACAGTATTCCCTTCCGTTGCGTCCTCCATATTGATGACAGCGCCGACGGTGATAATTTTCTGAAATTTTTGTCGTTAATGCCCCCTGTGTCCTGAAATCGAAAGCACCCGCGTTGTCTTAAAAGCTTTCCGACAGAATGCGCAACTTTGGAGCCTCCGGTGTTCGACGAAAGTCCACGGTTACGGAACCCTGGAAGCCTGCTACGTATTTCCACACGCTCCTTCACCCATCACGACGCAATCACATTTTGCCCATGGCGTCATCCTTGTTCGCATTACCCGCTTCGCGTGTTACATGGCGTTCTGTAGCAGCGTGTGTCGCTCTTGTCAATTCTGTTTGACTTTACAATGCTATAACATTACAATGCTCACTTCCGAAGATTGCCAAAGCGTGGTCAATCTTGTTAATTATTCGTTGACCCCTCTCGTCCATCCGCTCTTTTGTACCTTGAATTTCCTTACTCAGATATTGATTTTCCTTTAATTTTACATGACTCATAATGTTTCATGTATTGCCACTTATATTCCGATGGTAATTGGTGCAATTCCAAATGTTCGTATGCATGTACATGTTTTCATACATTTCTCGAATGTAAAACTGATTACATTTGCGTATTCTTGCGAAATGTTTGTTATGTTTATTTTATATAATATTTAAACTTTATTTCAGTTTTTTAATAATTCTATAATTATATAAATAGATTTATTGTGTATTTTTATAAGAGTATTATTTAATGAAATTGAAATTATATATTTTAACATAATATAATATGTGTATTATATACAATATATGTATATCTATATTATATTTCTACAATATATATAATATATATACAATTATATATGTAATTTATAAATATCTTAATTTAATGGCTAATTAAATAGAATATATAGATATTTTTTTTTGAGATATATTATATATTTATAATAAAAATTTTATATTTATATATATATTATTGTAATATTACATTTTTTTAAAATGATTATTACATAATTAATTTAAAAATACAAAAATATAATATTTCTTTTTAATAATAGAAAAATGTAAATTTAAAATAATTTAAAATATATAAAAATTAATTTTAATGTTTTCATAATAAAAAAAAATATAATTTAATGACAAAAGATATTATTTGAAAATGATTGCATTATTTATGTGAATTATTAAATAAAAAATATCTAATGTTGTTTCAGACTAATGAGAGAAAGTACATTTGTATGAGTTAATGATCTGACCATGACAAGTAACGTAGCAGCAATTAAGTTAGAAGAGGGGCAAGAATCCGTAACAGAAATACAGACTTATTTAGAAACATTTAATAAAGAAATAGAAGGAGGTCAGGGAGAGCAATTACAACATGTACAATGTTAATATCAAAAAAATAAATAAAAATTTATATATTTATTCTAAAAAGAACAAATTTGTAAATTTGTAAATTATTCTATTGTAGTACAACAAGTGGAAGGATTGTCAGGTGGAGAAGAGGGTGGGACTTATTTTGTTGATCAATCTGGCCAATATTATTATCAAGCAAATAATGATGAAACACCTGTGATGACACAGGTACAAATTCAAGAAGTAGAAGAAACAGATGTACAAAATGATGGAGAAACAGCTCAAGAAGAACAATATAATGAAATTGAAGAATTAGAAAATGTTGATGGTGATGAAGATGTAAGTGGATCATTTTTAATCATGGAATAATACAATATTTATAATTATCATAAAAAATATATTATTTTATAGAGTCATGTAACTAATGGTGGAAATAATCAAGTTGTAATCAATTCTGGAGATGCATATCAAACAGTTACTATTGTACCATCTGATACAAATCCAGGAGAAGTTAGTTATGTATTAATAGTTCAGCAACCTGATGCTGAAGACAAAGAAAGCAGACCTGTAGAACGAGAGGGAACAGAAGGAGACGAAGGGGAAGGGGAACAAGACCTTACAGTTTATGACTTTGAAGATAATGAAGATAATGAAGCACCTGTGGAATCAGAAGCAGAAGATGATAAAACAAAAATTATTAAATTTTTACCTAAAAAGTCTCAAACTGTTACTCAAGCTCATATGTGTAATTATTGTAATTACACAAGTCCGAAAAGGTAATTTTTTTATAGTAAAATCATATCCATGCATTATTGTTTTATTTTAAATTATATATAATTAATTATTGTAATTTAATTTTTAAATAATTTTTTAATTTATATATGATATATATAATATAGATATCTATTATCACGGCACATGAAATCACATTCTGAAGAAAGACCACATAAATGTAGTGTTTGTGAAAGAGGATTTAAAACATTAGCTTCGCTTCAAAATCATGTTAATACACATACTGGGACCAAACCACATCGTTGTAAATTTTGTGATAGTGCATTCACAACTTCTGGTAAATAAATTTTTTTATTATATTATATATATATATGTAATGTAATAGTTTTTGATTATATAGTGATTATATTAGTGATTAGATACATTTATTTATTTATTTATATTTTTTAATAATTATTTCTCTTTAATATATTATATATTAAATAAAGCTAATAATTGAAATATAAAAACATAATAATTTCTGTATATATTTATAGGTGAACTTGTTAGACATGTTCGATATAGACATACTCATGAAAAACCACATAAATGTCATGAATGTGATTATGCATCTGTTGAATTATCTAAGCTCAAACGTCATATACGATGTCATACAGGGGAACGTCCATATCAGGTACATTATACACTTGAAATCTTATTTAATTACAAACATATACAAACTTAAAATATTCATTAAAATTGTTTTATAGTGTCCACATTGTACATATGCAAGTCCTGATACTTTTAAATTAAAGCGACATTTGCGTATACATACCGGAGAAAAGCCATATGAGTGTGATTTTTGTCAAGCAAGGTTTACCCAATCTAATAGCTTAAAAGCTCATAAATTGATACATAATGGTATGTTAATGCTAAAAATTCTTTTATTTATTACATAATTTTCTTGCTAAATTTTTTAATTTATAATAATTATATTAATTATATTTTATATGTAATTTTTTTTATATGTAATTATTTTATATATAATTATTTTAACATATGATTAATATATATGATTTATAATAATATATATGTTACAGTTGGTGATAAACCAGTATTTCAGTGTGAATTATGTCCAACCACTTGTGGAAGAAAAACAGATCTCAGAATTCATGTACAAAAATTACATACCTCTGATAAACCTTTGAAATGTAAACGTTGTGGAAAAACATTCCCAGATAGGTAATTATGTGAAAAACTATATAAAACTATATCCTAAAAAATATATATATATGTATATTACAAACATAAAAAATATAATTTATCTTTGTAGATATAGCTATAAATTACACAGTAAAACTCACGAAGGAGAAAAATGTTATAAATGTGATTTGTGTCCATATGCTTCTATATCTGCGCGTCATCTTGAAAGTCACATGTTAATTCATACCGATCAGAAACCATATCAATGTGATCATTGCTTTCAATCCTTCAGACAAAAACAACTTCTCAAACGGCATTGTAATTTGTATCATAATCCTTCTTATGTTCCCCCTCCACCACAAGAGAAAACACATCAATGTCCCGAATGTGAACGACCATTTAGGTATGTAATATTTGCGATTTATAAATCAAGAAAATATATAGGAAATAATTAAAAAATATATTTAAATTTTATTTATATAAATTTTAATATTTAGGCATAAAGGTAATCTTATTCGACATATGGCTGTTCATGATCCAGAATCATCTCTTCAAGAAAAACAACAAGCATTGAAGATGGGTAGACAGAAAAAGATTCAAATTATAGATGGACAAAGAGTTGAAGTCATGACAGGTAAAATTATTTATAAAAGAAAAAAATAGTTCATTTATATGTGTATAATTCGAAACAAAGTCAAATTTAATATGCTTAAAATAATATTTAGATTTTATAAATGAAAAAATTATTACACATATATAATGAATAAATAATTATAAAAAATTGTGATCACGGGGACACTTACGATATGATCTGTGTACAGGTCATTGACTAATATCCGTGTGTTATGTTATGATAACAGGTGATTTAGCTTCTAAACTTAAAGGTTATGAAGAAGAAGAAGATGATGAAGACGATATGATGGCAGTTGAAGGGAGCGATGGACAACAATATGTTGTATTGGAAGTTATACAGTTAGCTGACAATCAAGGAACTGATCAGGTATACGTTATATTAAATACAAAAAAATATATTTTGAAAATATTCTCTATTTATATATTAGTGTTTTTTAAAAGTAATTTATATTATATTAATGAATTTAATTGTTTTGTTTTTGTTTAGCAAATGGCTGTTGTAGCTAGCGAGGATGGAGATTTGGTGATGCAAGATCCTCTGAGTCAAGAAAGTGGAATTGTAACTGGTACAGGAGAAGAAATTGATGATGGAGAAGAAGAAGAAGTAGAAATGGATGAGTTAAAAATTGAACCAGGAACAACTAATAAATCTCAAAATACACAAAATGATCCAAAATTACAGAAAGAGATGGAAACCTGTTTTGGTTTTGATGAAGTAAGTTAATTTTATCTTTTATTATTTTCATGAATCCTTTTTTAAAGACATGATTTATTATGATATAAATTCATTATGATATTTTAGGAAGAAGAAGAAGAGGAAGAAGCTAATGGTAATATAAATATACTGCAGACAATTTCATAATATATATAAGAAGAAGGAATTCAAGGAAATCCATCTATGTAATAGTCACATGTTTTATCTCTCTCGCAGTAATAAGGTATATACTGTGAGTGCAATTTAATATTATTTAAAAACTCTGTGCATAGCTCCAATGGAGCCAATTTTCGGGGCCAGTGCGGTCTACATGAATGGTACAAGAACATTTTTTGCCACTAGTGCATTAGATGTACGTAATAATTTATAAAGAAATAGTAGTTTTGTGGTTTAGTGAAATATGAAGAATGTACAATTACAATAATGTAAAATATTATTTTACTTTATTATCAGTAAAAAAATTGTCCTTCAAAAATTGTAAACCGACAAAACTGTTATTAATGAAAACAGATATATTAGCAACGTAGATTGGTATAATATTTTTAAATCAGTTATTTAATATAAAGCATGTAGCAAAATATTTGAATTTATTGATATCATTCATTGTTGGAATGTGGTTAATGGAACTGAAATTACAGAATAAAATGAGGCTGCAGTGTATATAAATGCTTACCATTACACTTCATTTTATAGATAAATATCATATTCTATAAATAATTAGGAGAAAGACAAATGATAAATTTAATGATATTGGTCGAATTTTATGTTATTTAATATGAATGATATATATAGAAATGTATATATAAGAAATTCATAATACAAAAAGAGATAACAATTTTTCATTGACCTGGAAGATGTTACATTTGTGATTGTATAGAAGTATTTCATAATAATAATAACAATAATAATAATAATAATAAAAGATCATTTTATGAATAAATACCTATATATACATATTATTAATGATCATAATTGTATCAGGTCAAAATTTTTGTGAATACAAGATAAAGTATGAATGGCAGAAAGTAATTTGATGTTAAGTGTAATGTTATGATAATTAGTATAATTATAATAATTAATTTTTTATTTCACCTTTTTTAATTCCCTTTCTTGAAAATATATACACAATTTTTAGAATAGCTCTCCTTCCAGGTTGATTATAAAAATATACCAATAAAAAATGTTACATATTTATAAACGAGGAATGGAATTTTTAAGTAGTTGAATTTTTTGTGTTCTGTCGTTCTGTGACAGTTTAGTTTATCGTATATAATTTTGTGATTGCGTAGTATCTAGAAATAAAAAATGGTAATTTCCTATTAATATAAATTACATATATATTTCTCTTATGTAATCAATTTCTTATAAACGTAATCTTATACGCAATTTTTCACATGTTGCACGTAAGTTATTCTATGTACCTCGTCAAGCTAAAGAGAGATAATGCTGTAAAAAAAAAAAAAAAACTTGTAAAATTTTTTTACATTCAAATTGTACGATTGTAATTGAACAATTGAGATTCTTCAAATCGAAGCAGTTTCATACAATATCCCAAAGAAAAACGGTGTAGCATTTTCTCCACAATAAATATTACGTCGTCGACAATGCTCTCTTTTACGCACATTATTTCCATTAACGAATTTATCGTTTCGATAAGAAATTTATATCGTTTAACGCACACGTTATATCTATTAATCCGAACAAGGCGTATACACACGGGAACACGACCGTTTATTTGCTTTGTATCCTGTAAATAATCGGCGAAGCGTTTGCTCCCACCTTTAACGATATTAGGAAAAGCCGCACCCAACTGCACCCCCTACGGTCGTTAACCCCATACATATGTACTACGTACCATCGTCTCGTTTATCAGGGTACATTTATAGAACACGCGATAGTCTACGGTTAAAAGGTGAATTTTTTCGTATTTACAATTACATTAAGAGCGTGTGATAAGAAACGAGAATAAAAAAATATATATAAATATATATTGTTAATTAATGTAGGACCGTACTTAGGAAATTCTATTACATATATATAAATAATACCTATCTATATACTGCGATCAATTTTTGACAATATACGTGTAATTTATGATTCGAGACGTTATGTTAATTCTCTCGTTTTATCCATCCGATAGTTCACGCCTTCCATTTGTATTCCTTGTGCGTCCGTAGGATGTAATAATAATCTCTCTTTCAAAGGAATGTCGAATGAAAGCGGATGTAACAATACGCGTATAATTTCGTGCGTGCAAACGATTCGCCCGACATCGGCGGATTTTGATGATCGTGAGTGTAAATGTTACTTTATTACACTTTCTTGAACGTGATAATTTTAAAATCTCTGTACTTTGCGAGAAAAAAAAAATAAATAAAGTAAATCGTATCAAATAATCGTATCATCATCAAATATTATTACTTTTTTTAAATATAAGTTTTAGTTTTTTACGATTACGAAAAAATTACGAATCATGCTATTGCTTTTTTTTTTTCAAATTCATTTTAATATTATAGTTAATAAGTCAAAAGTTCAAAAAAAAATACAATATTTAGTTATAAATTTTTCAAACTTTTATAAACAATTATAAAAATGTATTTCAATGTTTGGAATATATATATAGAATGTTATTCAAGTTATTCTGATTTTATCTACAATTTTTTTGAATAAAATTTTACTTACATCATTCTTTTTCTATTCATTCTATCATCAATTTGTAACTTTATTAGAAGGAAAAAAAGTATTTTATTTTGATATAGCGTGCCCGATTAATAAATTCAGGTCACACGAAATGAGAAAATGCAAAGTAAAACTTTAACATGCGACATTTAATTAATCTATAGTTAGGGAAGGCTTTTATTCCTCGACTAAGTTCTCTCTATAAAAGATCCGAAGGATTGTAATGCGTTGTACGATTTACGGTGACTCGTTTTTCCACCAAAAGATAATCTCGACAGCGCATACATACTACTGTCGACAAACGAAACGGACACGGGGACAAATGGACGTGGCACAGGATACAGGCCCACGCGAATGCACTCTCTTCGCCTCCCACGGTCCTTCTTTTACACGACGGTATATATCGGTGGTTTCTACGCAGAAGAGCTTACTAACCACCTGAAAATTCATATCGGTGTGGGAATACATTTTGGCTCGACGCCTCACGAATCGAGCGACCGGTCTGGATCGGATATCTCAATCTTACGAAATCGATTTCGATGCAAAGTCAAAGTTGCAAGATTTGCATTTTGTGGATACATCGTTGAATATAAGAATATTATTCTATATTATTCTATATATACGTAAATCTGGCTGTATTTCAGAGTCAAATCGTTACAAGTTGCATTTTTCAGATTTTATAGAAGAACGAGTTGAAAAACATTTTAAATAAAATATTTTGTAAAAACATTTTAACTTTGTTAACTACCACATATATCTGGATTTTTTTCATATGTGTCATGAACTGATAAACATGGGTTATTTTTTACGAATAAAAAATAAATTCGATTTGATATTGTTTTGACAATATTATTAATACATATATATATATAAATCTCTTTTTACATGAAGTTTTATTTATTTCTCATTATATATTTTTTTTAATTATTTAGAAAATATGATGAAAATCGCGCATATCCTAAATATTTTAAATTCAAATTATTTAATACAGCTATGTTTCTTTTTTGTATTTCATACAATCTTTCTTTTGCACTTTTTTTTTTTTATTTTCATTTGGATTCCAATTATATTTTTCTATTAGATTCATTTTTCTGTTAGAATCATCTTTTAAAATAGATATTCAATTACAGAATTAAAGTTCTTAAAGATTTACAATATGCTAAGCTTAAAAATACCAATAATTTGATTCAAAATAATGATTCAAAACGAATATGCACTTATAAATTAAAAAATTAAATAAAATTAATAAATAAATTAAATAAATCAAAAATTGAATATTAAAAAAATTGTAAAATTTTAGAAAAAAAAATTACGTAAAAACGTCATTTTAGAGAAAGATAAAGAACATATTTTGATTTCAGAATTCAAATATTCACATTGAAAAATCAATACAAATAAATTTTTTTTTGCAAAATATATTTTTTGTAAAATATTATCACTAAAAGTAAACATTATTTGAATTTTTGTGAGATGTTCGAATACAAAGGAAAAGAATAAAAAAAAATTTGTCTTGGTACCACTTGCGTCATGGCTGATTCCATCACACTACATAAGATAAACCAGCGTGTCGGTGAACTCGTGTCGCGCATAATGCGGTTGCCTTTCCTTTATGCGTTTGCCCGCGTGCCGCAATAAAACGCGCGTGCATATATTATGCAGTTTCCTTTTCACGAGGACCACCTAGACAGCCCATGACCATGGACAATGATGACCTAACCGCGTATGTTGCTGTGCTCTTGCAGCAATATCCACGTGAATCGAACGTTAGAATTCAATGAACATCAAACAAGATGGGACAATGAATGAATAAAATATTCTGTGTAATATTTTAGACTAAGTATCAACTTTGTATTTTTCTTTGTATTCTTGTCTTTTTATATATATATAAAAACTGTTAATGCACCAAAATAGCAAAAGAAATTATTAATGAATAAAAAAGAAAAGGCAAAATATATCTTTAGAAAAATATCTTCAATGCATATGTACAATAGAATTTAAAAAAATTGCAAAATGCAGAAAAAGTTTTAAAATAGAATTTTCGATGTATTTGAAGATCTATAAAATAAATCCAGCACAATTCTATTAATTAAAATATTAAGGATCGCGTGATTTGGTTAATAGGAGTTCAAGCGGATTCTTGACACAGCAACAATGTAATCGCGCAATGATGCGCATGCGCATACACATTTGAAGATATTGAATGGATAAATGGGAAACGTTCGCAACTATATCGACATAGGAACATATACTATACATAATTTTCAAGATCTCTTTATGAATATCATTTTGCGTGACGCGAAGAGATCGTCTGATTCCATTATAAAATGTAGAGCATATTAAAGCGTGCTTGTTTTGTTTTTCACGGTTGAGAAAACACATATTATTTTATAGACATATTAATTATTACTTAAATCGATAGATTATATGGTTTTGTTACACAAAATTGAACATTAGATATGCTAACAATGTAATATTTACGAACAGAATATTTATAAAAATGTAAATTCAATGTGAAGAATTTTTTTTTAATAAGCTTTATTTACGAAAAAGTTTTAAATTTAAAATATATAATTTATAATTATACAATAATTTATATTTATATTTATAAAATTATAAACAATTATAAAAAATAAAGAAGAAAATTTTTTGAACTTTAAGATAAATCGTATCAATATTATTTATTAATTTATTAATTTAAAAGCAGTAAATTAAAAAAAAATTTCAATTACATGTTCTATAACGTAAAAATATAAATATTGTATGAAAATTCGCGGTATTATAGATCAACTTAATATGAACAAAAAAAGCAATGCAATTTTATATGCAATTATATTGCAATAAAAAATTCATTTTATTTATAAGATAAAAAGATAAATATAATGATAGAGAATTTTTCTGGTCGATCAAGAGCGATAGAAAGAGAGTCATTTCGTAGCAATAACAGAGATTGATGATACAGATCAAGACATTTGACTCTTAGTGGATTGAGTTAAGTTAAATTTATGAAGGAGTCGCGAATGTGCGATAGTTGACAAGTCGGATTAAATTGCATTTGTATGATTACAACGAAACACAATTTAATTTCTAATAGCTCGAAATACCGCTGTGATTCTCATTTAATTACCGAATTACATTACATAAACACTCTTTATTACGTATTAATAAATAGTGAAGCTTATATTTTATTTTACTTAAAAAGTATTTTATTAAATTTGGATTTTAAAAAATTGAAAAATTTAAAATATAAATATCTAAATATTTTAATTTTCTAAAATGCATATTTTCAAATTTTCAAATTTTAAGTACATAAATTGAAATCAAAAATATTTTAATTTTTAGGTTAGATTTTCAAATTCTCTTCTTAATCTGTATATATATATATATATTATAAAAAATAATTTTCTATTATTATTCGTTAAATTCTTCATTTTGAGCATCCTAATATTAAAATATGAATTTATAAGAAAATCTGATTAATCATACGATTCACCAAATTTTATCATCTGTCATCTTTTGACCATTCGTTGCTCCACATGTCGTGGAACTGTATTAGAACAAGTACTTTAATTGCAGGATGTTGTTAGTCCATTGAAACGATTGGCCGCGTGAATGACTGCGTCTACGAAGCGTGACCATGGACAGACTTGTGTGTCTATAATGTGTACGCGATTAAGTATAAGATAAGTTTCTGCAAAAATTTATGACGATAATTACCTTACTCTATTTCCTGACATTCGTTCAGTTGCAAAATGTACGCCCATTCACGAACATGTACACTACACGTACATTATATGCAGAAATATAAGAAGAAACGAGTGAAATATTCTGTTCTCTCGCTTTCATATTTCTTTCAATGATAATTGCTCAACTTTCTTCCTTTTTTAACTTTTTTTTCTTAACATGATTACAAAAAAGACTTTGATATAATTATTAAAATATTAAATTGTTTTTTTATATAGCTTGTAAAGTAAATTAACAGCAATTAAGTTTATTAATTAATATGATTTTATTCAAACTTCAATTCTGAAACAACAATTCAGAAATTCTATATATATCGTTTTTTCAAACTTTCTACTTTAACAAATGGTATTTAAAAAAAACTTGTATACAATCCAAAACAATTGCCATCCATAATCAAAATCTTTAAATAAATCTTAACTGAAGTATATTATAAAAATATATCGACGAAGACTTTTACTTTTCGATCATAGAAATATTTTAAATATTATTGTATATAATCCAATTATTACAATTTATTGATTTATAAAAATTTTAAATGTGTATCTAATGAAATACTAAAAATCATATTGAAAAAAAGTTAAGAATAAAAAAACAATTTAAATGTAAAAATTTCGATCTATTAAGTTCTTTTAATTCGCTACATATTGCGTGGAAGATTAAATACGTGTAAATGGCGCCAGAAACTTGGATGGACGGAAAAGTATTGCGAATGCTCAAGTTTTATTGCACAATGGACGGTGACAAAGTTTACGATCTTTCATAACGATCACCGTGTCTCCGATAGTATTTTTCTCGGACGGGAAATCGCGTACGAGTAACGAACGATACGCGCGATAATAACTGTATAGACTTGGGACAATGATCGATATTTAGCTCAAGACAAAGCCGATGACGGCGATTCGCGACTCTGTCATCGGCGCAATCATTACGTAATTCGAATTACACAACGT